CCTTCAGTTCATGGCCCGGCTATAATCAGCACTAAGTAGGAGAGAAGGTCAAACGTGTTTTACACAAGTCTTACATAACAGTGTAAACTTCAAATATGTTGAGTCTCCCATTCTCATAATTCCTAAATTGTGTGGGCCATCATATGGTCTCAAGATAGAACCAGACAAATGGATGGAGGCTAGAGCTATCAAGAGAAACTACTGTTGAATTAAATGCTGGACTGTATAAGTCTCTTTTCTTACACAGCAAGTCTTTATTTTTTCTTCTAACTATGATGTGTAGAAAATGGAAAGTGCCCTGCTATGGAAAAATTCCTTAGCCTTTACAGAGCCATAGCTATCTACTGAACCTCCTAGTCGAACTACCTAAATTAATACTAACATAGTTATTTCAAAACACCTAATTGCCAAGGTTTTCCCATAAGGCATATGGAGCTAACATCTGAGTAAACTCATCCAGACTGCACCATAGAAAGAACACCAAGATCATAGGGCATAGGATGAGTCTTTAAACAATCTACCTGCTAATTTCGATATAATATATCTTATTTATGAAGCACATTTCAAGTATTCAATATGCTGGATGCATTAAGTCAGTAATTCTTACAATCACTTTAAAGTAGGCAGTAGCAACTTCATGTTATAAGAGGGTGGGTGAGCACAAGAGAAAAATGGATGGCTTAAAGCCACTAAACAAGTTTATGGCTGCAGTGCAAGAGGAACTGGGAATTTCCTGCTATGCTGTACAGCTCCCATTCTAAGCCACTTCATCAGCTTTTCACAAAATACTCTTTGTTAAACAGGTTTTGAACATTTATGACCGTACTAAAATATGGCCTTGGATTTCATGATACAGTGCTATCTGTTAGGCCCTAGGAGTTTCCCAGAGCTCTGAATAATTTATGGAGTGTTGAAGTGAAGACAACAATGTTGGCCTTTCTTATTACTAGTGGAAAAAGTGTCAGCTTCAAATTGAGGAGGGGACAAGAAAGAAAGAGCAATGTGACTCTACAATCGGGTGCTAGCCATCCAGGACTAGAAACCTGTGCCCTTACCCCACAGAGCAATCTGTTGGTTGCAGTTGGTCCTGCATCTCATGGATAGACGGATGACTAGAATTTAGGATGCTAACTCTCCATTGGATGCTTAAAAATCTGCTTGCTTGTTTATGTAGGAAGAAAAGATAAGTGCTGTAACTTAAGCTGGTAGAATATAATGAGTTCAAACTGAAGCAAAAAGAATCAGTAACATGAAACAGCTATACAGGAAATCTACAGAGAGCATGTTTGCTGATAACATGTTTTATGGGAAAAACTGAGCCAATCCTAACATTATATTAACTATAGGATTATCCTTGCCCATTTTGTTATACAGCATCACAACATTCAGCTATAAAAGTACATGCAATTTTAATAGTTATTAATGTAAACCGAGACCCAGTTTGGTATAATGGTTAAGGCACCAAGCTTAAGAAGACCATGAGTTCTAATCCTAAATTAGATACAAAGCCAGCCACTTTCTCGTAGCCCTAGAAAGAAAGCAAGGGAAAGAAAGAAAGAAAGAAAGA